CCCCGCCCCGCCCCGCCCCGCCCAGGCCTCATCTACTTCATCCATGAGGGCGAGAACCACGACGAGTGCGTGCCGCTTGCCCGCCGGCCGGGGGCCGTCCCCCTGGCAGGGCCCCCCTCCCCCGCATGCGCCGCTGCTGTACTGACCCCTGCGGCTCTTTGCTCGCCCGGCCCCGGCCCCGGGCCAGGCTCCCCTTCCACCACGACGAGGCGCGCCCGGAGTTCCTCCGCCAGCTGAAGGCCTGCGGCCACACCGGCAAGGAGGGCAAGGTGACCATCCTCTATGGGCTGGCGGCCAACCTTCCCCGGGTGGCGGTGGCCGGCCTCGGCAAGGAGGAGCAGCACGAGGACAACTCGCCCGGGGCCCAGCGCAAGCAGGAGATCATCCGCACGGCGTCGGCCCTGGCGGCCCAGGCCCTGCGCGATGACGGCGCCGAGGACTTCATCTTCTATGCGCTCGGTCGCGCGCTGGACCCCTCCCCCATGGCCGAGGGGGCCCTGCTGGGCCTCTACAAGTATGAGTCCTTCAAGGGGGGCCGGCGCCTGGGCGAGGCGCCCCCCGCCGGGGCCGAGCGCCCGCGCTTCACCATGGGCTGCGTGGCGCCGCAGTTCATGGGGGTCGTCAACCCCATCCCCTGGATGAATGGCATGCGTGCCGGGCACTTCCAGAACATGGCCCGCGACCTGATGAATGCCCCGGCCAACTACATGACCCCGACCCTGTTCGCGGCCGAGGCCGCCCGGCTGGCGGCCCAGGTGACCGAGGCCGCGCGCGGCTGGATCTCCGATGCCGAGCCCATGACCCTGAAGGTGACGGCCCATGACCGTGCCTGGGCCGAGGAGCAGAAGATGGGTGCCTTCCTGTCGGTGACCAACGGTGCGTCCGGGCCCCGGGGGCCGGGCTTTCCCCCTTCGGTCCCTGTTTTTGCTGGGGGTCCGCGTTTTGTGGGTCCCTGTTGCTGACATTGTCCTCGTTTGCTGTGCCCGTGCTCTGCTGTCTGCCTGTTGGATGTCTGCTGTCTGCCTGTTGGATGTCTGTTGGATGTCTGTTGGATGTCTGTTCGATGCCTGCTCCTGGCCTCATACTTGCTCCTGGCCCCATGCCTACTCCACGCCCGCTCCTGGCCCCATGCCTACTCCACGCCCGCTCCTGGCCCCACCCCCGCTCCTGGCCCC